ACTTACTTGGAATCTAAATCGTTTGAAATTATTGCTTTCCAGCAAATACCTGTCCAATTTAGAGCCAAATGTCGCATTGCTAATGCCTGACATAGCCACACGCAAGCGGCTTTTTCGTGGTTGGCAATGCCTTCACCAGATTTTGCCAAGAGTCCATACAAATCAACTAGACGTCTATCCTCACAACTAATCATCAAACGAACGTGTCATCTCAGAATATGTTGAAGCAATTACTCAAGCGAGAATTGATCTGTACAATTTTTACCCTATATGAGTAGTTCACCTACTAAAGTTCAGTTTTGCTATTCATGAATTTTAGAAGATTCCTACTTTTAATCTTCGGTGTTTAATGACAATTTTCCAATCCCAACCATTGGTCTTTCCACTAATAAAAAATTTTTTCTTCCAAGAATTGAGCCGGAAACACGACTGTACATGGCTTTCAAAATTTTGCAAGATACAAATGCAGATGAATAGAGATAGATGATAATTATAAAATAACCCCAATTAGGCAATTAGGGAAAATTGCAAAAAAACTAAAAGTGTGCTATTTTTAGATCCCAATCAATCACTTCTTATACCTTCCTTTTTGTTAAAAAAAAGATTGGAATTTCAAGACGTGAGAAAAAATCATTTTTCTTGCTGAGTTATTACAGTCTTTGCGCAAACACATGACAAAATATGTCCAAAAATATGAGCCAAAATTTCCTCTACACTACAAGAGCTTTAAGCGAAAACAAACTGCAGATGGAACAAAAGAAAGGGTAGAGTAAGTGCCTTGGAGAACCAATCGATACTCATTCTTTAAACCCCTAAAGTGAAAATTGGATATCTAAAATTGCGTCAAATCTATTCCAATTAATTAATGACCAATAAACGCATGCACTAAGCACTCTTCTCGCTAAATAGATCTTGAAGGACCCAATTAATTCGTGCTTCATTAATGGGGTAGAATGATAATGTCATATTTAACTATGAAAACCATTAAAAACAGTACAGAAATTATAAATCTATAACTATCTAATATAAATTCCCGTTTCGACTGTCTCAAAAGGTTCTAGTTACACACAGAATTAGCTCAATTACGGAACACAACGTATTATTTCATCTCAATGTGATTCGCATTATCTGATTTGATTTACTTTCACGCCGACATTTTGTCCACACATCGGTCAAGGAAGGCAAAGTAGGGAGGTATTAAATTCAATAAACAACATTTCAACGCCCCCATCAGGTGAAGGTCACAAATAAAGTCTATCAGCTAGTACAAGAGTCTTAAGTAAGACCCCCTAAGCAGTTGGAACAAAGCTTTCAAACCACCACTAATCAAACTAAAGCGAAACTAAGACGGGTTAATTCCACTTCATTAAATAAAGGAGAAAAGCTGAAATAGAGAGGGGGAAATCACTGCGATAACAAAGCACTATGAATTTAAATTTAAAATGAAACTGAATTCGGATAACGTTTCTACTTACATTGTAAAAGTAGTCACGACGTATGAGGAAAAGTCCGCCAGCCATAGCGGGAGTACGAATGGGCATAGCTGGCTTATCCTGGCGTCTGAGCTCTTCCCGTGGGGCTATAACATCCCAATCGAAAAGAAGATCCCAACTAAATACACCCCAAGTCCTTTCTGTGCCTGAAACACAAATAATGATTGTAGTAGATAATAATACAGGTACATATTCAATGCCAGAAAATAAATTGATATGTGCGGAGAAATACGCTTTTTCTCTAAAGAATGCGTATCTATGGAAATAACCACATAGTTCCTGAACTGGGGAATAAAAAAAGAATAGACCTTACGTAAAAGAAACGATTCTGCTAGTTAGTGCATTTTAGCGAACGTGAAATAAAATAGACAAATTTATTTAAATTCGACCGACAATGATAATATTATCAATCAGTTAACAGTAAATCACTGGCCCACACATTTGGACGGAGGAGTTCATAGCAGTGCCGGCTGTGAATGACTCGGTGGCTACAATTTCTAGCTAAACTGAACACGGATCAGCACGGATTAGAGTCCAGCAAGACTGAGATTATGCTGAGACAGGGAGCAATAATGTCACACACTTTAAAGGACATACAATTCACTCTAAAAAATTGGGTTAAAAAACCAAATCCTTGACTACACTAATATTTATTTATTTATATCAAATGGCAGGCGTTTTGATAGTTATCATTACCCCTTTATTTGACTTCAGGTTTCACAGAGGGGAAGGAACATCAAAGTGAAAAAAGTCGAGGGGGGGGGAACAGAAGAGTGTTTCAAAGATGTAAAAGAGACAGACACAAAGTTGGAAAGAGGGTGAGGTGAGTACTGTGGGAGTAGTCGAATATGACATACAGTGGGGTGATGGTAGTTGGAAGTGAAAAGTCGACTGTCGGTTGATAGACTTGTTTGCCGTATGTGTATACGTTGCCCAGGGTGCTCCACGTGGAAGTAAGTCTATCGCACACCCCTATACACTAATATATGTACATGGCTAATCGTAAGAGAGAGAGTTGTAGATCGACGCCAAATTTCGTTTACTTTTACCTAAGTCTATGCTAAAAGGGATAGGTGAGAATGATTTCCTAATTCACCCAAAATCTAGAATCTCCTTTGACGCTGAGGGATGGGTTGAGATATATATATNAAACATGGCATTCCATTTTTTTGCCTAGAAAGAGGAGGATACTTTGCAAAAAATAAAATCCTTTTTGGAGACACTAGATCCTAGTTCCATCTCCCACTCTTAGAACAGGAAAAAATAATTAGAATTTTTGAATACGGCATGAATAACATGGGGTACACTACAACCTGTCAACGAATATGGGAATCAATTGATAAAACTTGAATCCTACTACTATTACGTGGACAACATTTGCAGGATGGTCACATGGAATGACATAATTTATTTTTGTCAAATGGCAGGCGTTTTGATAGTTATCATCAGCCCTTTAGTTGACTTCAGGCTTCACAGAGGGGAAGGAACATCAAAGTTAAGAAAGTAGAGAGGGGGGGGAACAGAAGAGTGTTTCAAAGATGTAAAAGAGACAGACACAAAGGTAGGAAAAAGGTGAGGTGTGTACTTCAGAAGTAGTCGAATACGACGTACAGTGGGATGGTGGTAGTTTGTAGTCAGAAGTCAACTTCCGGTTAATAGACTTATTTTGTCGAATAAGTATACCTTGCCCAGGGTAAACCACGTGGAGGTAAGTCTATCGCACTCCCCTGGAATGGCATAATAAAGTCAAGGATCCCAATTGATCTCCAAAAGGGTCTGAAATGAAATGTAAGTTTAAATAATAATTAAATCAATACAATGTTCAATATTTTCTTCCCATTATTATAATTATTGGAATGGCGAGTTACCTTTGAATTGTTAAAGCGAGACAATGTGAATTACATCACAGTGAGCATTATTCTATTTGAGATTATGTTAATTTTCGCCGAGAATGTGAACTTGTTTTCATTCTTTCCTGGTTGGAATGTCGACTTGCAGATAATAGTAATCTACTTGCACGCCTGGAATTCAACAGTTGGTAGAAGTGGCTTATTTTGTCATGTCTGGAAGTAGTGGTAGTCGGTAAAGAAGGTTCATTGAAAGGGTTATGATCTCACATTGAGATGAAAGTTTATTTATTTCAAATGGCAGACGTTTTGATAGTTATCATTAGCCCATTAACTGACTTCAGGCTTCACAGAGGGGAGGAACATCAAAGTGAGAAAAATTCTAGAGCAGGAACAGAAGAGTGATTCACAGATGTATAAGAGACGGGCAAGCACTCAGACAGACACAAAGGCAGAGAAAAGTTAAGACGAGTACTGTGGAAGTGGTCGAATGCGACATACAGTGGGTTCATGGTAGTTTGAAGAGAGAAGTCAACTGCCGATTAATAGACTATTTTGCCGTAAGAGTATACGTTGGGGAGAGTGCACCACGTCTATCGTTCACCCCAACATTGAGATAAAAATTGTTTTGGATTTTTAAATGTCACTGGGATGCAACTTTGCAAGCTCAGTAACTTTTTGGAAAGTTTGCTAAGTTATTCTGTCATTTATTAATTCAGCAGGGTCTGCTTAAGCTTTAATTAATGATACAAGTTCTGATCTCCGCGCTTAAGCTTACTTTAATCATAAAATATGCATACAGACGTAACTCTTTCTAAATCATTAAAAAAATTCATCCAATTTTACTACTTCTTGCATTCTTTGCAGGGTAGACAAAAGTAACTGAGATTTGGAGACCTTAACATTCACAGACCCCAATATATGAATTCTGAACACATATAGGTAGCAATATGGAGATAATATACTAGTTCAAGGAGACATCAGTTAAACAGAAATTATTAATGGTCCACCCTATTCAGTAAGTATTGGGTGGGCAACTAAGTCATTGTTGTTTTTGTTGACAGATTCACTCTATACTTTCTTTTGTTTTGTTAACGTGGCCAAAGCATCTAACCTATATTTTTTTCTTACTGTATGGGCTTCTAGGTTAATTAGTAAATAATTTTTTTGTTTAGTTCTTTAGTTTTGTTTTTATCCCAATTTAAAAATGAAAGAACAGGACGTGCACTTCCGACACATTTTATTGTATTACTTCCGAAAAGGCAAGAACGCATCGCAAGCACAAAAGAAGTTATGTGCCGTATATGGAGATGAAGCATTAAAAGAAAGGCAGTGTCGAAATTGGTNAATTCACTCTAAAAAATTGGGTTAAAAAACCAAATCCTTGACTACACTAATATTTATTTATTTATATCAAATGGCAGGCGTTTTGATAGTTATCATTACCCCTTTATTTGACTTCAGGTTTCACAGAGGGGAAGGAACATCAAAGTGAAAAAAGTCGAGGGGGGGGGAACAGAAGAGTGTTTCAAAGATGTAAAAGAGACAGACACAAAGTTGGAAAGAGGGTGAGGTGAGTACTGTGGGAGTAGTCGAATATGACATACAGTGGGGTGATGGTAGTTGGAAGTGAAAAGTCGACTGTCGGTTGATAGACTTGTTTGCCGTATGTGTATACGTTGCCCAGGGTGCTCCACGTGGAAGTAAGTCTATCGCACACCCCTATACACTAATATATGTACATGGCTAATCGTAAGAGAGAGAGTTGTAGATCGACGCCAAATTTCGTTTACTTTTACCTAAGTCTATGCTAAAAGGGATAGGTGAGAATGATTTCCTAATTCACCCAAAATCTAGAATCTCCTTTGACGCTGAGGGATGGGTTGAGATATATATATATTAATCAAATTTGCATTGGTTGGAGGTCACTAAAATTCTGGCATTCAGTGTGCATTTCAGCTAGACAGCAAATCCCGAAAACCACTCCACGATCGGAAAGAAAAAGATCACGACAACAGCATCCACAGAACACAGATAAATACAGTGACCAACCAATAGACATCACTGACTTCTTACGAAAAAATGTTTATTATCAAAAAATTGTTCAAGTACATCTATAACATTCGACATGGATTCAGTCCACATTTAAATAGCTTAAACGAAGAAGAGTTTCAGCTATCCCAGTGTCTAGCATTCGAACAAAATTAAAAAGAACAGCGTTAAAATTGAGAGAAATCTTGTAGTTGTATACAGCATATCCACTGGCATTCTTTACACCTTTCTTCAAATTTGCCTACCATTTCATCCATACTGTTCAACCTTCACTAGCTATCTGTCGCATGCAAGGCACTCATGATTCACAACTTGATTGCAGTGAAGATTAAGATCTAAACACTTTTGAAAGATCAATCAGGATTTGAAGTTATTGGAATGGTATTGCGTCCTACGATTTCCAGATTCGCGGAGTGGATTGCAAAAAAAACGAAATTAACAACTCTTTGCCCCGAATTGCGAATTTCACGATTTATTTCCTGCATTGCTGGAAAACATTCCCCAATAATCTTACTAAAATGGTTGATGAGAAGTTAGGTAGAACAATTTCAACAACCTTATTCCCATCACGATTCATTCTCAATGACTTAATCAAATTGCCCCCCCCCCCCCCCCAATTTGGAGAAAAAAGCCTCCCCAGAAAAGAGGCAAAGTCATCCATCCGAAACGTCCCCACTCCCTAACCAACTCCCATTATTTCCCAATAGATGACAATAGAATAATAATAATAATCAGCAAAAAACCCAAAATTTGAAGAAGAGGAAAAAATGGGCGGAACAAAGGAAGATGATATGAGAGGAAGGTGGAAGAAGGAGAAGTAGCATCATGAATCATTGAAATGGAAGAGAAAATACAAGATAAAAAAGTGGACTTAAAAAAAGAAATGCAAAGTAGGACTGAACTTTTGCCTTATATAAGCCTTATTTTGAAATGCAGACGAAATTTCTCTTCTTGAAAACGATAATCAGTCGAAAGAGTACTGCGGGGAAAGATAGCATCATAAAATGCGTTGGAGAAGAGTTGAGCGAGTGGAAAAAAAGACACAAAGTTTTCTACAAAGTATTACAAATGCACAATATTTAATTGAGAATAAAAAACAGTAATAATAATAGTATAATCAAATTATGTTAGAATGGGTATTAAACTTAGAGCAATTATAAAGCTTCCTTATTAGGTACAACATAAAGCGACGTCAATTTATTTTAAAGTGATACAGAAAGTTTCAAGGTCGATATTTAGCTACACACCAATATGGCAAGATCAGATCTTCTGCTCGAACAATCACTCATGAGCATAGTGATTAATTAAAATTTGGAGACCAAACACGTTAAGGAGTATTCTATACTTAGTAGGTGGAATGTGGAAGTCTTATGAAGAAAGGCACATCTGACACCCATCCTCTATTACCAATTTTCTCTCTATCCCAATTCACTATCTGCCATTTTACACATGTTTCAACACGTTTGAAATAAAATCATTCTCCTTTCCCATGCAAGAACATTGGAGGGGGGGGGGTTAAATAAGTTAAATAAAGGGCAGTTTTAGCTGATGTTAGTATTTTGATCTCCAGTGTATAATCCACGAAATATTTTAAATTCTGGATTACTTTACTTGGATAATACACATTTTCAAGGAAGAATTAATTAAGATTAATGTGTTACGAAAATGCGCATGACGGAATTTTCTAAGCTCCATTCCCCCAACCCCCCCCCCCTCACTTGGAAAAAATGAAACCCCCCCCCATCTAAGAATTTGAGTCAACATACTATGGATGACTCTATTCACTGCTTCCTCATGGGTTAATGGATTCGATGCCTATTTAGTAGTTTGAGTCTACGATCAAGAAAGCTTCATATGATGGCATTCTCTACCAAAAATGAGCGCTGGAAATGCTTCCCCTACTGGACTTAAAGATGATCACTTTTTAAAGATTTTCCTTTCCAATTGTTTGCGTTTTCTGCCTACGATTAAACCATTAGCAAGTAAACCGCCTTCTGCCACCAATTTCATAGAGAACTTTAACACTCTGCCTAGCCACTTTTTTACACATATTTATTTTGGTGTGGTGTACAAGATCGACAACTTCTCCATTGGGTCTCCTTAAATGCGCGTTCTGCCATCGTCTAAGTGCACCTACCCCCCCCCCCCAGCAATCTTGTGGTGGTGGTGGTGGTGGAAAAACTGCAACTTTTTTCCTTAATATTACATGTCCCAACGTATTGTAGGTAAAATAAACTAAAGCATATAGTCATGGACCAGTGTAATATAATCGCTAGATTAATCTGAGATCAAGGGAGGAAGTGAAACCCCCTTAAGCCATGCCGCAATAGACTAAAAATAAACCCGATATGGAGCTCAATTAAGAAGTTCGGAAAAAGGAACTCTTTTTAAGATTGAGAAAGTTTTGAAGTGAAGATAGCACACACACACTTAGTGCTTTTAAGCAAACCGCTCCAAGATTTTTTCAGTGCTGTTTTAGTGCAAATCGGAGTCAAGCGCAATCAATCCCCAGAGGATAATTCATAAAATTCAATGAGCAGAATTAATTCCAAAGGCTATTCAGAGGGTAGTTCAAACAAGACTCCTGAATAAAGTCTCCTTTATGATGCATCAATCCAATAATTCCAAAGGCATATAAGCAGGCGTAGCTTCATAATTCTGCAAATCAGTTAGCCCCAGAATTTTACTGCCCTCTTAGAGACTAAACAGTATCTCTTAATATATTTTCAGTCAGTAGATTGCTACCGTCTGACCGAATGATAAATTGCCACGGAGACAGAACCACTAGAAGGTAATCTGTTTCGTTTTCGCCTTTGCTAAGATCTGTACCCTATGTGCCTTTTTCCAAAGAGGTTACACTTGACACAGCGAACAAGGACGTGATCCACTCCAAATGCGTGTTTTTATGGCTGTTTTCTGAGTTATTTCGTTTGGTTTCCAATAAGGAAATCAAAGCAATAAACATTCATAGAATCTGAAGTATGCGACCACTGAGTCAGATGGTATGGGTTCAAATCCTTCACTGTTAACCCATTTCTTACCCGCCTATGATCTTGTGTTCCACTTGTAACGGCCTCTCTCTTATTACGTAGTGCCAAAAAATGATCCAAAGCAAAAAACAGACCCTTTAATCAGTCATGCAGATTCGACAGGGAAGAGAGATCCAATTTGGCCAATTCAAATTTTCCAATAAAAAAAATTGACCTGTATTTCCCATCTATTTTAAAAGTGAGGGGTGTGCGATAAACTTACCTCCACATGGTGCTCCCCGGACAACGTATACTCATACGGCAAAAATGTTTACTTCTGACTTCAAATTACCATGATCCCCGAAATGCCTTATACGACCACTTCCGCGATACTCATTTCACCTTACCTTTTTTTCTGCCTTTGTGTCTGTCTCTTTTACATCTGCGAGTCAGTCTTCTGTTCCCCCTCCCCACTCGACTTTTTGTGACTTTCAAGAGGGTGATCACTATTTAAACCTGCACCCCGCCCCCCCCCCCCCCCCCCCCCCCCCCCCCTCGATGTCCCCTTGGGGACTAAATTCGTTAATGCAATTCTCTGCATTTTTTGAAACTACTTTTGCGCTTCATTCAAAGAGAAGGAAAACCACCTCTCCCCATACAAAAAAAGTAGCTTCCTCTCTCTATGTGTGTCTGTGTCTCACGAAGGTGAGTGCAACGGAGATAATGGAGCGCGCACGAAGGTACTAAATCTCACACATTGAGACGTGCTTTTAGGGAAACTTGACGTGGGCAAGAAAATATTGTCAGCAAAACACTCCTACCACGAGACAAAATAAATAAGGCATATTGAGTTGCGGGAAAAAGGAAAATCCACGTCATTCGTGAGGTACGGAAAATGTAGCATCAATGAAGTAACAATTTTTTTGCTCTAGAGCAATGAACTTGTGCACAACTAGATCGTGCCTAATTAATAAAAGTGTTAATTGTGGGCACAAGCCATTGGGCACAATAAGTGGAATCAAAGAACAAAAGATCTAATAGACTAGGAGTTAATAAATAACCATAGAACACAACAAGAGGTCATTATGCTTTCATGACCGATAATGACAGCATAAGATTGGGTATGCAATAAATGAATAACGACAGACCTTAATATGATCTGTTATGATAACGAACGTGGAAGTGAAAGGTTGTTTACGTGGCATTGATAGTGAATAGCCCCATGCACGAGGAAGTGGTATTTCATTATCGAAGGGAGTGAATATATCCACTACGACGCTTATTAATGTATTTGATAGTTTTTTTCCCAAATAGGCAAAACGTAGACGAAGTAATTGTGCGACAACAGCGACACTGAGAAGCCATAGACGCACAAATAAAATCGACATAAAAGTGACTGCATAGAGCATGATTTAGTGAATTAGCAATGCAGTAAATAAGACAACGCAATCAAAAAATTGGGGTAGCTCAAGAGTTCAAACGCTAGTTTTTACATGACAATTTAATTATATCTGTACCGCTCGTAATTGAGTCGATTGAATAACTTCAAAACCTCAGGAGAACAGCGTTTAGGAACTTGGCCAACTTCTTTAATGACCAAACTTAGCGTAAGAGGCGATTGACTATTCAGAACATTGGTTTTTCACCAATGAGTATCATACTCGTGATCTATGATTCAACAGACGAGTCGAGGTGGAATTCAGACTAACCTTCATAAAAAACAATAATTAAATTCAGTGAATTCAATCACATACAACAATGAAGTACATTAAAGCGCCTACGAGAGAGAGAGACATACACACACAAATGAATTCATTTACGAAATCACAAAAAACGAGATCTTACCATCAATCCACCTTAAAAGCGACTTCAAAGTCCAAATTCAAGCGCTGGAGCTTGAAGTGAATTGAATCAATCGCACAACTTGCATGTCATGGCAGGCAATTTGCCAAAGCGCCCGATGAAGCGCAATCGGGTTGGGGGCTTTAAGCAAAAAGGCGTGTGTGGAGAAGGCAAACGCACCCCCCGAAAAACCGAAGAGGGGGCCGAAACCCACTTTCGGTTACTTGGAGTGATATTTCGTCAATTCATTAGCACGATTCATACTAAACTGTGATAGGGCACGACAAAAAAGGCCATCAACGGCGCTAATAGTTTCAAATGTCCGACTTCTGAAGTTAGAGGTCAAGAAAGAGGCTAGTTTGAAGGGGGGGGGGAAGAATGACGCTCTAATGACCACTCTCCAGTATATAAGGCATGATGTCAATCTCTCAGTTCAGCTCTTGATTGCGCATTAATCCCCCTACACATGCTACTGCCATTTCTTCGCTATGAATAGGAATACTGAATTTTAAATAGCACATAAGAGGATTCACCCAAGCGAATGTAAGAGTGGATCTGTGCGATATTGATGGTTTTGCAGCTATTTATAGCGAAGAGGAGTAGACAGAAAGAAAGATGAAAATAAGGAACTAGTTGTAAACGATAAGATATCGAATGAACGAACACAGCATGACTGCATTTAAAAGGACCGAAAGTCGAAACACGATAACGTGTTTTCAAGATTAAAAAAGTTTAACTGAGTACTGAGCAGATTAGCAAAATTACTACTGAAAAAGGCGTAATTGAGTTCAATGAGTGCAACCTTTAGACAGCCTTAACATTTTCGTTTAATTTATTTAATTAGAATGTTATATGGAAGTCTACTTTCATCAAATAAGGTGAGAAAAAAGGCTAAAAGGATGGCTTACTCTGGAGATATTCAAATGACGTGTCAGAAATCACATCAATTGCAGGACAGACGACAGAGTGGGGATTTTGGGCGACATGGGCGATGAGAGGTTCCAGCCAACCTTCAGTGGCTTCACAGTGTGCATCAAGAAACGCAAGAGTGCTACCCCTAGCCTCTTTAGCACCTGCCAAACGAGCTCGAATAAGACCCGATCGCTGGGGAAGGCGTATCAGGCGCACCCGGGAACCCAAGGCTTTCACGTAAGTAGTTAAACTATCACCAAGGTAGTCTTTAAAGGAAAAGAGGCAACAGGTTGCATTACTCTGCGTAAGAATATTAAAATAAAATACATGCGTAATATTAAAATAATTGTAATCAACGCCAGCTAAAAAAAAGATGTGGCATTGTGTGAACAAAGCTTACGGAGATCTGCCCGCTTACCATTTTAGCCATAACGTCTCTGCCAAGGTGTTAAGGCTGTAAATTACGAAATACCATGTGAGAACATTTGCTTTCGATAATGTTTGGAAGGATAATGTTAACTTTTCGGGTTTTAATACCGATGAAATTAAATTTGTCAATATACACCAAACATTGAAGACAGGAATTTGCTGTAACCAGGGCCGAGGGGGTGGGGCGGGCTAATGAGCTGTGCAGTTCTTGATATCAGCGTTTGAGAATTATTTACGAAAGACTAGAGATAAATAATGAGCTTCGAACTACAAAACTACATTAGGGAAAAAGAAACACGAACTGTTTGATAAGTACAATATTTCAATAGATTAACACAATTTTTGATGAACCAACTTCATTTAACCCCACCCACCCAACAAGGCCCTTTCCTTTCTCATCATCATTTAATGAGTTACACTTGCTTCTTTTACTATACTTGAATACTTTCAATAAACAAACTTACTTTGTTTTAGCATTAGCAAAAGCAAGACAACTTGACAAAACAACCCCCCATCTCTTGACCTTTTGCTTTGAACAGCTGCGCTGTCTCAAATACCCCCTCCCACCCCCTCCCATCTCCACAAGAAAAGTAGGTGAAACTTTCAGTTTGCCATACGTGATAAATAATCAATCAGTAAAAAGTGCTGTATATTTAACAATTATAAAATTGTTTTCCACCCACGGTTAAAAAGCAGTTAAATTATCATTAAAATCTGTTACGGCCCAAAATGATTTGGAACTAATAGAACGAAATAAGAGGTGGAAAAAGCATCTTGCCTGGGTTGAAAAGTATTAGGTTAATTATCCTTAAATAAATAAGCATAATACTATCAAGTTGGAAATTCTATTCTAATTTGTTGGCAAAATGAATGCTTACTTGAGGGGTATCATTGAGTTACTTATTTCTGGGTAGTAAAAGTCTGATCGTTTAAAAATACTAACTCGTTGCCTTCATATGAGTTATATTAAAGCAATAATTCGAAGACAAGCATCACAACAGTTAGCTATATACGCATTTTACTGAAAGTGGGAAAATTTTCCCCTTGGTAGCAATGGTAGTGAAAATACGAAAACAATATTTCCCCCTAAACAAAAATCAATGCCTATTTTTTGTGAATGAACTTGAGTAACAATTAATAGATTATCGATCGATTAGTTAGTACGATAAAAATACAAACTTATCGTAAAATTGAGCTGTCAATATGAATTTAAAACTCGAATTTGATGATTACGAGGTTGACATAAGCACAAAATTGTAACAAAAGCCTCATTATAAGTACAATCGTCGATAAATAGTAATCGTCAGTCAAACAGAACATATCAAAATCGTCTTTTGAGACTAGACGAAAATTGTTACATTTCAATCAGAATTTAAGTGATAAAAGCGCGTTCTTAACGCTCCATAACAAGTTTTTTTGCATGAAATTGAAATAAGACAGAATGCTAAATGAACTGAAGGACACTTGCAAGCTGGACTTAAGGCAAAAGGTCAGGAGGTATTCTTAAATAAACAACTCGATTTTGGTTTATGCCCATAAAAAGAATGCCAAAAATGATAGGCAGTCAGTTAGAGTATAGCGAATGATTTCTGAAGTTTTCAAGCAATTGAGAAATTGGTATTTGATACCCCCCCCCTTCCCCGTAGGTTTCATTGTTATTGTCTAAGATAAATTAGGACTACTATTAAAAGAGTATCAAATTAGAGGGATCCAAAAAAATAGACAGATGAAGGGAGAGAGCAGAAATACCGGCAAGGTTCCAGGCATTAAAGTGTCATACACCATTCCAGGTATAGATTCGTTAGACTCTTCAACCTCTAGCACTAGAGTAGAAATCACTGGATCATATTCGCATGTTGCAAGATTCAAGTTTCACAATTTGCCCCAAAACGGTCGAGTGAATTAGAAACTACGACCTTCTGAGCCAAGTTCGATGCAAATGAACGCAAGGAATAAAACTGGAACACACATATAAGAGCTGGTGAATTTGCAGAGAAGGTTAACAGTGAATGATTATGTGGATTGGAAAGAGGAAGTCTTAGGAGGAAAAGAGGCAGTCACGCAACAAATGTTTCAATTGAACTTCCAGCAAATAAAAACAAGCAAGTGCAGAAACATGCAAACACTGTAAACCTGCGTTTTCTGACAGACCTACCCTATTCCTTAATGCTTTTGTTTTTTTCTTTTCTCCTCACAACTAAACAATTGATACATAAGGGAGAAAAAAAATTACGGCAAAAAAGTCCACTCTCTCTCCACTTCAACCAATAATCTTTTAGTTGAAGAACTTTTTCATTTAGTACACAAATTTAGACGAAGCTAATTAAAACAACCCTTAAATAAAATCAATACCAGAATGTGGAGCGCGTATTTACCGTATAGACCTCCAACAAAAAAAAATAGCTTGAAGTTAAGCTTAAATTTGCAACTGTGATACTGATAGGAATCTTTTCAGCAGAAAATCTTGTCGCGACTTAATTTCCGTACAAGTAGCAAGGAGAGGGAAAGAACTGATGGCTGTGATAGAATGTTGTCACATTGTAAAATGCAGTTTGCCTAATTAGTCAGAAAGAAAGTTGCTTCCAATTCCTTAGAAAAAGGCAAAACGCGATGAAAATATGAGGAGTAAACAAAAGTAAATGAAAGTGGCATGATCATATTAAGCTTTACTAAATTTTAAGTTGTCTCAACTGAATTCAGGGCTTTGGCCACTTTTCCTAAAATAAATATTAGATAAATAGTATTTACTTTCAACAATTCAACCTCATTTTTCCCTGGGTATTTACTTAAGATGGGAGAAAGATAAAAACATTGATCACTGGGGCTCTTGATAAGCGTGTAGCTTACTAATGCTGGTAGACGTTTCATTTGCCTCACACGAGTGTGCTGGCAGAAGAAATGGATAAGCACTCGAGAGAAAAATAATTGAATGACTCAGGCGACAACGATAACACTCCCCTCCCCCCCCCCCCCCCCCCCCACCCACTCAGACTGCAGTTCAAAAAATGACCATTCTAGAAATTTGAAGCTTCCAGGATGATTTAAGACCACTCGTATAAAATGTAAAAAAATGGGAGATGGCAATTCACCTTCGGGAATAAAAGAAGGGATTGAATCGTTTCATCATTACGTGGGATTATAAATTTAAAATCAAGTCTATGCATATCGTATTTCAATTTAAACCATATTTTTCGTAAATGCTTAATTAAATTATGGCCAACTTCAAAGAGGATATACTTATAATGAAATCAGATCTTCGTTCCAATAGAGCTTTAACTATCATATGAACAGTAAAGCAGTGTAGATAATGAATTTTCCCAAGATAAGGATTAAAGCAAATATTAAAAAAATCACCAAGTTCCGAAAACTCTTTAGGAGGGGTGGGGGAGGAAGAATCAAGATAATAAAAAATCCTAATGATGAAGACTAATTTCACTAGTATCAGTCGACTTTGATGGGCACTGTATCCGCTGAACGTGGGTCACAGGCATTTGATGAGACTAGCTCCTGTGGATTACCCGACTTTCATTCAGAAGATTGACAACTTCAGATCTGTGTTACCCAGGTGCAGTATATGCATACCGGACAAGTAAAGATAATTAAATGAGCAGTAGAATTTTTGACAAATATTTGCAAAGTGTATACAAGTTCACCTGCTGGTATATGCAGTTTTCCTAATCGATGTACTAAAGTTGCACCATCAAAAGACAAATTCACCAATTGCTTCTCATTTTCTCACGTCCATACGTGCATCAAGAAGTAAAACATCTGCAACAGTTAGTCACTAGGAGTTGCAAAGGAAGGTAACAAAGTTCTGCTCAAACTTGAAGAGTACCGGTTCAGTACTCACATCTAACGTAATTGAACTGGGAAATTGAACACATTTAATGAGAAAAATAGCAATATATATAAAAGTGATCTACATGCGGTAGGTGGTTTCATCCACGTTGCATCACCTTATTAAAATAACAACGGATAAAATTACTTTTTTTACTAAAAAAGACGAATTATGAGAAAAAAACCTGCTGAAATTAGATGGATAATATTCTGACAATTTGTCCAATCTCGAAGGCCGATATTCTATGACGATGTTTTATTTATGGGAAAATCGTTGAATTTCATAAATGGAGATCGATATAAAGTTATACTTTAAATTTTACATCTCACAAACCAAATTTATTTGATTGTGGAAGAAAATATGCGCCATTTCAATAGTCTTTGCTGTAGAACCTTTATTGCTGATATAAGCGAAGATTTGGGCAATTGTTGCAAGCAGACATAAAGAAGATAGATGAACAAAGATTGCATTCGCAAACAGTTTCTTAAGCCAATCTGAAATCCTCATCACGGAAGCTGGGGTCTGGAGTTTTTAACATGACAGTTCGAGCGATTTTGTACTGATATATTCATAGTTTTTCTGCATTGATTTATCAACATCTTTCACTCGAACAATTTATTTTCAGACTTCTAGGGCATTTGAACGTCTGGAGATCTGAACATGGATTCACTTTCAGATCACTTTGCAATGTCACTTAATATCTTGCTCAAAGGTAAAATGGTTGGACAAATTGAGATTATCGAAACGAATTGAATGAATGCTTTAGTTAAACAGAGCATTTTCCTGAGGCAATGACAGTTTCCCAGGGCAATAAAATGCCAAATCTAATGCAACGTTTGCCAAAAGGGGGGATGGGAGTGGGGGAAGAAAGGGTGAGACAATCGATTGGCCGCGAAAAATAACTATTGAATACTCGACAGGAAAGTAGCGATATGATAACTAGCATCAATTGAGCTGACCAATTCATTTCAGAAATACTCGCAGACTAACAATTTGAGGAAACAGCACGCGCATGGGCAAAGCTATTTCCAGATGCGAATTTATTAAAGCCTCACTCAGAAACCCGATGTTATAGTGACAAGTAATGGCTTAAAGTAGTAGAAATTCCACCAACAACTAAATTTTATATTTAAAGACCATCCAAACACAAATCGGAACACTTATTCTCAATAAGCATTCGTTTTTTATATTGTGGATAGAAATAAGTCAAACTAAAGAAACTGTACGACACCTAAAATGGGGATTGCTAGATCTTGGCAATAATCAAGTACCGTAAGAATCAAAAAAGGATCTAACCGAAGACTTAATAGCTAGCAAAAAGTAGCGAATAGCAAGTGAATGAGGATTGCTATAAGGCGATTTTGGATTGGAGAAAAATGCGGAAATTAAGAATGAGAAAAAAACTAATTATTTTGCACTGTACTGAAAGGCGAATACCATTCTTATTCATTAAATGATTACCAATTGTGTACGAGACCCTATATCATTAAAGCTTACACCCACTAGCCAAGAATGAAACAATTATAATTGAAAAGTTAGTCAAAATAATGGCTCTGAAAGTTAGAAGGAGATATTCAGCACAAACCTGAGATGAGACAGCATTTTTGCATAAAATTCCCGAATTTTGATTAAGATGAGTCATAGTGACTCTCTGCGACATTGGTAGAGTAAGTACTAACCTAAGAATCCCTCTATCAAGAAGCATATAATAGTTCGATGACACTTGCATCGATTTTTTAGTAGGGGAACAATTAATTTACTACCACCAATTGATATGAATGATCCCAGGATGAAATCGTAGGTATTTATTGAGAACAGTCGAGCGACATTAATTAATTTATATTTCTACCCTCAGTAAGATTGTAAACGTGGTAATTAATGGGTAATAGTTAAAGACGCTCTATAAATGATGAATTCGGTTGGCCAAAAGTACTGAAGCAGATTGACATGCAGATAATAATCAAGTGGAAAGCGATAGGTTGGAAAAAAACAACACAATACGCTATGGAATGACATTAATCTTCTTTACGAGAATTGGAAAATTAATAAACACCTTGTAAGGCCATAGACAGTACAACAGCTGCAGTATAAAGTAGTAAATTTGCAAATCTAGGAAATTCAATGATTAGTAATCCAAATAATCTGTGGCCCAAATATAGATTCGTATTTATATTTGTTGAAATATAATTGTTATTCCCCATATTTAAGCAGGTATCTCTTTTGACGCCGTCTTAGCATCACACGGTAGCAATAGAGTTGCATTGCTGATGTCTTGACTGTTAGAAGAAAATTTCCTGTGGGGGGGGGGGGGTGTGTGTTACCAACTCGCCATCTCATTCGATCAACTGGTCAATATATATATATATATATCGTGAATATTGAAGCGAAGCATCCGAAATAGCTCCCAAATAAAATTCAAGGAGGGATGTGCGATAGGCGTACCTCCACGTGGGCGCACCCTGGGCAACGTATACTCATACGGCAAAAAAGTCTATTAACTGGCAGTTGACTTCTCAATTCAAACTACCATGACTCCACCGTATGTCATATTTGACTACTTTCACAGTACTCACCTCACCCTCGTTCTACCTTTTCTACCCTCGTCTTTGAAACACTCTTCTGTCCCACCCCCTCTATCGACTTTTTCACTTTGATGTTCCTTCCCCTTTGTGAAGCCTGAAGTCAACTAAAGGGCTAATGATGACTATCAAAACGCCTGCCATTTGATATAAATAAATTCAAGGATCATGTTCTGTAGGTCATCCTCCATATATGCCTGGCATTTCATTCTGCTTCTAATAACCCTCCTCAACTCACAAACATATTGGGTCATTTTTTGGCATAGTTTTGCAATGCCATAAGTAGTAAATACATTTCTAAAACTCCTCTCGAACTATTTTGAAAATGTAGTATGTGCCCGATGACTCTCATACGTCTCTTCATCCGCCAATATAATGAATACACATGTTGACTCATAGTTTAAGCGCCACATATATAATAAAATGGTTTTTTATTACCAAATAAATGAAGAACTCGAAATCTGTTAAGCACTTTATCGTACATAAATGAGCTCCATTTACCACAAACTGAGTTTTTCTACCTCACTATGCTATCCCATTCACCTCCAACTCACAATGCCCTCTCTTAACGCTTTTTTCCTCCAACTTTTCTTACCTCGATCATTATTCAATAATAGTGTTCGAGATCAATAACTGAAGATCTTCTGAGTTAGGAAAAGTTCATTGCATCCTATTAGCTTTCAGACCATTGGAAATATAGGCTAATAGCAGCTTTATTGGTCGAATTAATGCCACTTGGAATTTTTAACACCATTCTGGGATTTTCTTACAACGCAAACTTTAGTTGAATGCAGATAAAGCCAACTCACCACGGTCACTAAAATCATCAACGAGAATAACCTCCTGGAGAAGTTGGGGCGGCGATCGATTGAGGACGGAATGGACAGTTCGAAGGAGTGTGGACCAGGCCTCGTTATGGAAGACAATTATCACACTAGTGTTGAGACCAGACTGCAACGCCTTCTCCATCTGTCCGCCATTTCGACATCTGTTTAAAGTAAACGAAAAGGGGATACAAAGTTGAGGTGCAAGCGAATGGTAACTCAAGCAGCTGGCCAACACTCTGTTGCCTATGTAATGAAATTAGTTCATTCATAAACAGTACCAAATTGAGAGCTAATGATAAGGTATAAGAGGTCACTCTCAAGAGTTTCGAGACTTGCGCCTATCCGACTTCTTCTACAAAGCGTTTTCTAACTAGTCTGCTAGTCTATCGCCAACGGAAATCCAGCAAAAACTTACCAGATGTCAAATAAAACGACCTCAGCTATATAAAAAGCTAAAGTATTATCTTTATTAATAGAAAATTATGCCACTTAAGAAAAAATAAAAGTTTATTTGCTTTTAGTTAGGTAAATACTACCGTAAAATACAATTTCCGCAATCAATTAAAACTCTTTCCAACTGTTTTTTTATAGTTTTTCGATCTAACTTTGAACAAAAACTCGACTATACTCCATGAAGCTGCCAGATGGATTGAATGAGGTTTTGTGAATGTGAAAGAAGAGGCAGAGTCGACGTAATTCCCCAATTTGCAACAATGGCCACAATCAACGTGGAAGAATTAGCTCTTTTCTCTAAAATAAAACTGGACTTTTATCTTCTAACCTCTAATCTGATCTTCACAATTGTTTACTATAAACTTCGGACCCAACTGGTTTGACCATAAGGAATTAATCCAAATATGTCTCAACGAATGGTTGAAAGAAGCTTGAGAAGGGTCAGTCCTGGCTCGGAGAAAGGATTAGGAGCTTAATTCGAGCCCAACAATTGTTATTTCCACCAACGTCGCAAGTGATTCACTTCTCGATGCCATTATCCCCTTGGCGCAAAAGAGGACGAATCCTTCAACTTGAAAAAATAACGAAGAGTATCATTCATCCGTGTATTTTTTGTTTTACTAAGAGCTAACGCGGAGACACTCATTTGAGTTAATATTGCCACATTTAAATCTTTTAAACAAAACTTGACATTGACCGACTCCAAGCACTTGACAACAAATGTTAGCAAGAGCAGGAGTTCAAGACGCTGATGAAAGAAGTGCAGCATAGAATACCTGACGTGATCTTTGACATCCCCCCCCCCTCCTTTGAGGTTGAACTCTCCTTTACCTTCAACAATAAAATTGAATTTATTGCTCACAGAAATAATGTTGAACAATTGGTATACCAGAAAAAAAGTTTTGAGAGTTCCTTGAAAGATGCGAGATACCTTATTGGCATCTCTAATATTATGAGAGCGTTATACAAGCAAATTCGTGCTTGAACATGCACTATGGGAAATGCTCCCCTAATGCAAATGTGACATTATTATTATTATTATATCAAATGGCAGGCGTTTTGATTGGTATCATTAGCCCTTTAGTTGACTTCAGACTTCACAGAGAGAAGGAACATCAAAGTGAAAAAAATCGAGAGGGGGGGGGGACAGAAGTGTTTCAAAGAAGTAAAAGAGGCAGACACAAAGGTAGAAAATAGGTGAGGTGAGTACTGTGAAAGTAGTTGAATATGACATACAGTGGGATGATGGTATTTAAAGGCCAGAAGTCAACTGCCGGTTAACAGACCTTTTTGCTGTATGAGTATACGTTGCCCAGGATACACCACGTGGAGGTAAGTCTATGACATTAAAGTGTTAAATATTCACTTAATGAGCTTAATTCAATCACTAGAAAAATAGGGATTTGTAAAGCACAAAGAGCTTTTACAATGATATCCATCCCATTTTAAACAAAACTAAACCCACTTGAAGTAAGGAAGTAGGCCAGAAGTTCGAGTCTTGAGAGTATACGACGGTGCTTTGACAAAAGTGATCAGCATACATTAGTAAGCCCTAAATTTCTACTATTTTAACTAGATAATTACCAAACTAACGATCTTTGCAGATATATTTACCAAATTCAAAAATGCTTAATGAGATTCCAAGAACTGATATTAAATTTTGAATTCCTATCAACTCTTCGTCCAAGCCACAAAGAGGGCGAACACATGTTCTCGTTGCCATAGCAAAATTTTAGTACCATTCAATGCGAAATATGTACACCATACAGCAATTCATATTAGTTCATATTAAGATTTAAGGGATAAGCATTAGTTAAGTAACACCTGGTAGAATACAAAATACTTTTATTACATGACTGTAGTTTAGGCTTGACAGTAACCTGTTTGGGGCCTTATCTATGCCAATTCATAATCGACAATATCGTTGAGTCATAAAGGGAGTATTTCATCACCAAATTTAAAACTAATTCAGCCGCTCTTACTAGCCAACATCCCCAATAATAAGCTACCAAGCATTAAATAGCCGATTATTCGAAAACTAGACAACTTAATACTTAACTGCGAAGCAGTTAACTGTAAAGTCAAAACACCCAGATGAACAATAGTAGGACGTGACACAAAGTGGCCTTGACAATCATTGAGTATGCTATTACGCTAATCTAGAGTTGACTTCAGAACCGAATGCAATAGATGAGGGTAACCTTGTGGTGATTGGTTACCAGGCTATCAAACATTTTGTTAGTAAATAGCCCAATGAGGGACCACTTATTAACACACAGACACGTGGGCCAACAAAAATGTGTTTTACACTTAATCAGTATCACGGTGCAGAAAGCGGGATCGGTCACTGTTGTAAGCTGATCGATTATTTCCCCCCCCCCCCCCCCTCTTGCACTCCGATGTTTGGTGGTTCATCTATGCAACTATCTTACCCTTGGAGGTCCTTATGCCATTTCGTTTTATTCCCCCCTCCCCCCCCCCCCCCCCCCCCTATCTCGAGGTTGTTCAACAAATTAACGTACGGGCAGTTAACCAATAAAAAGTAAAACGGATATTGGAGGTAGTGGTTGGAGGTGCTAGGGTTCAGTTCTCACAAGATATGGCATTTCCCATTATTAAACGACTCTGTTAGGATTGGAACGAATTGAAATCAAAACAGCCACAGATAACATCCAAATGGCCGCTAAAAAGCCTATTTAACAGGTAGTAGGTAGAAAAAATACGGGGCATGGAAGTGTGCGTTAAGGGCAATGCATGTCCTAATAATCGTTCCCCTAGACGAGTGGTTGTCTAAAAAGAGAGTATTAATCATCGGGTCTTAGGTGATTTTGACCATAACGCCACCCCCCCCCCCACACAAAAGAGCGCCCCATAAAGCCATCCAAGTTGTAGGGACCAAATATTTAACAATAAATTTACGAGAGTTAGACCACTGTTGTGAACGCGCAGGTGAAGAAGTGGGAAGGAAGAAAAGACGAAGAAGAAGGCCAGGCAGATGGGAGGGAGTGGGGAACAAAAGGAAACTCTTCCATGTGTGGTAATGACAGGTTGACGGGATTTCGCATTAAAACAAAGCGATTTGAAGGTTATTTGGAATAATCAAAACAGAAATTTGATCTCAAAAATTAATAAGAACATAGAGCAATCAAAGAGAAAAACAATTATTTGAAATTGGCTTGGAGCAGACTGAGCTGCCCCTAGGACCTTGGAGGCCAAATTTTTACGTTTGATTTTTGGAATACTAGAGCATGACACAATAAACTCTGTGCCTACAAATCACAAAAGTGAACATCCGATATAATCCGAAATACAAAGGAAACGATACTTGATAGTATTCTCTTCTCACTTGTTGTGGAACTACTTATCCATTTCCTAGGGTGCGCAATAGACTTACCTCCACGTGGTGCACCCTGGGCAACGTATATTTAGACTTACCTCCACGTGGTGCACCCTGGGCACCGTATACTCATACGGCAAAAAAGTCTATTAACCGGCAGTTGTTGCGATAGACTTACCTCCACGCGGTGCACCCTGGGCAACCCACTCATACGGCAAAAAAGTCTATTAACCGGCAGTTGACTTATCACTTCTCATACGGCAAAAAAGTCTATTAATCGGCAGTTGACATCTTGACTTCTGACTTCAAACTACCATGACCCCACTGTATGTTACAAAGTATACTCATACGGCAAAAAGTCTATAAACCGGCAGTGGACTTCTGACTTCAAACTACCCTCACCCCACTATATGTCACAACTTCTCACTTCAAACTACCATCACCCCACTGTATGTCATTGTGTATGCGCATACGGCAAAAAAGTCTATAAACCGGCAGTTGATCTAACCCTAACACGGCAAAAAGTCTATAAACCGGCAGTTGACCTCTGACTTCAAACTACCATGACCCCACTGTATGTCATATTTGGGCAACAGACCCATACGGCAAAAAATCTATTACCTGGCAGTTCAAACTACCATACCTATAAACTGGCAGTTGACTTCTGACTTCAAACTGCCATGATCCCACTGTATGTCATATTCGACTACTTCCACAGTACTCACATCACTGTATGTCATATTCGACTACTTTCACAGTACTCATCTTACCTTTTCTCTGCCTTTATATCTGTCTGTCTCTTTTACATCCGTGAATCACTCTTCTATCCCCTCTCTCGACTTTTGTGACTTTGATGTTCCTCCTCCTCTCTGTGAAGCCCAAAGTCAACTAAAGGGCTAATGATAACCATCATAAAGCCTGTCATTTGATATAAATAAATAAATACTTATCCATTTCCTGAGTTTAGATTTCTTACCACAAGTAGTAAAATACTACTATTGGCATCCTATTTAACAGGGAAATAGCCGATTTCCATATTCCAGCTTAAAAAATAAGAGCTATTTAGGCCTAACTCAAGTGTATTTGAGGTCGTTGAGTGCATACACTAAGAAGGAGAAAGTATATCGATGTACATGTATCTATCGTACGGCTTTTACAGTGGTTGGCTGGTGTCTGTCCAAAGATGGGGATTTGAAAAATTATCAACTGATGAGTCAGATCTGTGTGTGGCAGGTAAGCAACTAATGGCAGCGAAGCGTTCCTTTACATTTTTGCATGTAAAAAAGAGTACCAACCTACAACAAACAATAGATACTGCATGCAAAAAAAATTTGAGTCTGTTTTGCAGAACTATTTGCAGTAACTTAGTCGTGTACATAGCCCTCTCCCACCCAATCCACAAAATTGCCAGAAGATAATGTGTTTTCCAAGTTCAGATTCTGCCTTACAATTAAAACTCCTAACTGTTTTGTCTCTATTGTGACCTCAAAAAAGCAATAAACCAAACAATTTCTTAGTCTGTGTAACAAATAACTTTGAGCAACTAACGAAATTCAATAATAAAATGTAGAGCTATGGAGAACAGTAGTTATCGATCTAATATGCATTATATTTAAGTTGAATTCGGTTGTTTCCACAAAGTTTTACATTCGCAGTTTCGCCTGACAAATCCCTAGAAAAACACAACACATTAAGCCCACCAAATAAGCAAATTTGTGATCTGAGCTTCAATTTATATTGATAGACTTATATTATATATATTAGATTGATTTATTGATAGATTATTATTGATAGGCAGTTATAATGACAATGGTTAAAAAATTGGTCAAAGTTAACAGCGGCTAATAAATAAAGCGAAATTTCATTTAAATGTCCATTATACTATTTTACAGAAAGTTGTTAAATCATCATTTCAATGTAGATATATTATTATTATTATTTCAAATGGCAGGCGTTTTGAATAGTTATCATTTGCCATTTAGCTGACTTCGGGCTTCACAGAGGGGGAGGAACATCAAAGTGATAAAAAGTTGAGAGGGGGGGGGGACAGAAGAGTGTTTCAAAGACGAAGGTAGAAAAGTTAGAGAAAAAGGTAAGATGAGTACTGTGAAGTTGTGGAATATGACATACAGTGGGGTGATGGTAGTTTGAAGTGAGAAGTCAACTGCCTGTTAACGCCACTTGAAAACTAATAACTAACATAAAAATATTCAAAAAATAGCAAAAATACCATCTTTGTTATGATCACTTGTGAATTTTTGTCCTCCTAGCCACCTCAAATATGTTCAATTTAAGGTATTGATTATAATCTTTGCACAGGGAGCTTTTCTACCTCAAAAAAAACGCAATGCAGAGGAGTGAGGATTTGAGGAGATAAGCAGCCATTACAATCGCACTAAGGGGTATGCGATAGACTTACCTCCACGTGGTGCACACTGGGCAACGTATGCTCATACGGCAACAAAGTCTATTAACCGGCAGTTGACTTCTCACTTCAAACTACCATCACCTCACTCTATGCTATATTCGACTATTTTCACAGTACTCACTTCACCTTTGTTCTACCTTTGTGTTTGTCTCTTACATCTTTGAAAC